CTGCCACCTTAGGTGTATGTGGCTGGCGCCCTAGCCGCTTGAGCCACAGGCGCCGAGCCAAGACATCTATTCTTGACATATATTAGACGTATCAAACTTCACACGACCCCAACCAACTTTTAATATTCCTCTGTAAAACCTCCTTTCCCCAGTCCTCCCTAACCCAGTAAACGATCAGGTTAAAAATCTTGGAGTCATCCTTGACTCCTCTTTTGCTCCTACAATTTACATCCAAACAACTAGCAAATCCCGTTTTCTTCACCTTAAAATCATACCTCAAGTGCAACAATTTACCACCTCCGCCTCTTCTAATTCAATTACTGCATAACCTTTAACTGGTCTTTCTTTCACCTTTGCTCCCCTATAATCTACTTAACAAGCAGCCAACGATCCTGTTAAAATTTAAGTCACTCTGCTCTAAACCCTTCAATGATTTCCTATTTCACTCAGAATAATTGCCATAATGCTTTCTTGCCTTACAGTTTCCTACATAATTTGCTCCTACCCATACCTACATCTTTCTGGTCTCATCTTTTTTAAATCGCATACTACTTTATACTTGGCTGTTGCTCCATCTGTCCTAATGGACTGTGAGCTGTCTGCAAGCAGTGACACTGTCTCACTTAACGTATGAATTCTCAGCACCTAACATGAGCGCTCAGCACATAGTAGGCCTTGATTTTAAAAGAATGAACAAATGAGAGAGGCCTACAAAATAGCCTCCGCATTTCAAACACAGTCCCTACGCTATCACCCCCTAAATATAAATTAGATCATCTCGATTACCTCAAGAAAGAGGTTTCAATATCAATTCCCACGCACTCATGCATAACCTCTGCTACCCCCACAATAACCTAGTGAGATAATGAATAAAGGTCAGAGCCAGAAATTGAGCCCTGAACCGTGCAATGACACGACCGAAGGAGAGTAGATGTGACCTGAGATCAAAGGTGGCCGGTCTCCAGTGACCACAACCATAGAGACCTAGTCTCTCTTTTGACAGCTAGACACCAAAGCCCAACGATGAAAACGAATCGTCAGAAATCACACAGCAAGTTAGTCATGGCAAAAACCCACTTTATCCCGCTCCCAAGCGCCACCCGAGCAGCTTCGTATTTCGGGTGGTGCCCTCCGCGCCGAACCCCCGCTGGTGCACGTGCTCCGAGGGCCCCGTACGCCCGCCCGCTCCCCGGCTCGCGGCCCGGTCCCACCTCCGCCCGAGGCTGGGGTCTACGACAGTGCTCTGTATCCCCTAAGCCTCTCTCAGCGCCGGAGCCCGCCCGGGGCCGCAGGTTGCCAGCGCTCCCCGCGGAGGTGGGCCCGGGCTGCCAGCGCAGCGCCCGCTGCTTACCTGGCCGGATCCCGCGGGAACCTGAAAAAGGCCAGGTCGGACTGCGTGCTCTTCCGCGTGCAGTTGGGGGCAGCGCAGAAGTTCGGCATCGTCGCCTGCCCGCCGGCCGGCTCAGCCCTCCCCTCCCCGCCTCCTCAGGGCAGTCCGCCCGCCCGTCGGGGCCGGGGAGGGGAGCCAGGCCGGCCGGCCGGCTCGGCAAGGACGGTGCGCGGGGGGGGGGAGGGCGGGCAAGAAGCCGCGAGGGGCAGGAAGGGTGCCGCGGTGCGGGGCCGGGCTGAGGACGCGGCTCCACAGTGCTGTGAGCGGCCGGGAGGATTTACCGCCGCCGCCGCCGCTGGTGTACCTCCCGCCCGCCCGGGACGCTGCCGCCTCCTTCCCACAATGCACCCCGGCGCCTGGGGGTGCCCTCTCTTCCCTCAGCCTTCCTCCCCCGCCCCTTTTTTCCGCCAACCTCTCGGCTGGCGGGCACGCGCAAAGAAGCGTGCCTGCCGGGGTGTGGCGAGGCAGAGGGCGGATTTGGCGCTGGCTCACTCGGTGCGCCTGCGCAAAGCCTAACTGGCGGGGAGAGGGAATTGCGCATGCGGGCTTGTCCCTGGACTCTAGAGCAGGCGGGTCCGAGGCTGCACGGGTAGGTTTGGCGTGTGCGGGTTTCTGCAGATCTGGGGCGTACATCACCGATGCCATCTCTCCTTACTTAAGTTGCCACTACTCGGGCCTTTATTGCAGACACCGTCGTAGACTCTTGAGGGGCAGAGAATCGAGATGACTTCAGTGACAGATTTGCAAACTCCGGGCAGATCTGCGTGCGCTGGTTGAACATAGATGTGGGTTGTAGATTTAATTTCTTCCCAGCTTTGCAGCTACTCTGTGGCGGTGTTAGCGTCCCAGAACCGGTCTGCTCAGGCTCAACTGGAAGCTAAGGGGTAAAAACTCAGAAAACCAATTACTCTTTTCTGGTGAGGCTTCTAGAAGAGCAAGAATAGCGACATGATTATGCCTACAACCCTATAGGGATTGGTCCCTCTGCCTTCCCTCTCACAGCTGTGGCCAGTTAACCTTTTTGTGTTCAATGCCAAAATGAGTGACCGCTATTTAGAACAAAGGATTAGTATCAAATTTTGCGTGAAATTGAACAAGTCTGCAAGTGAGACCCACCATCTTTTAAAAGAAGCTTATGGGGATGAAGTCATGTCGAGGGCCAGGGTTTTTGACTGGCACAAAAGATTTAAAGAAGGGCGGGAAGATGTTCGAGATGATGCGCGAAGTGGTCGTCCGGTCACCCACCGGACAGATGAAAATATTCGGAAAGTCAAGGACTTGGTTTGTTCAAACAGGCAGTTGACGGTGAGGATGATGGCTAATGAATTAAATTTAGATAAAGAAACTGTAAGACTCATTCTCAAAGAAAACTTGAACATGAGGAAGATTTCTGCAGAAGTTATATCAGGTATTTTGAAGGATGAGCCTAGTCCTGGAAAACATGACTTTAAGTCGGATCTTTCAAAGGAAACTGGGAAAAATGTAACAAGTTATGAGGCATGGAGTCTTCAAGGTGAAGCTAGTGGGGAAGGGCCCCTGTCTGTATCCCATCCCAGAATCCACTGCCCTGCCAGCCTGCTTCTTCATGCTTCATCTTCAACAAGCCTTCCCACCAGGGTAGCTCAGGATTGGTTCATACCGTGGTGAGAGGAACTGAAGTACCTGAATAGGAACTAGGAAGGTGCCTCACTTCTAGGCACCTTCTTTGGCTGCCCACGTTATTTTATTTGCTCTTTTTTTTTTTTTTTTGTCTGAGACACAGTCTTACTTTGTTGCCCTCAGTAGAGTGCTGTGGTGTTCATATTTCATAGCAACCTCTAACTCTTGGGCCCAAGCAATCCTCTTGCCTCAGCCTCCCAAGTAGCTGGGACTACAGGTGCCTGCCATAAGACCTGGCTAGTTTTTTAGAGACCGGGTCTCACCCAGGCCGGTCTTGAACTCCTGGGCTCAGGCAATCCGCCTGCCTTGGCCTCCCAGAGTGCTAAGAGTGCAGGCATGAGCCGCCTCACCTATTTTCAGTTTTACCACTTCTCCCTAGGTATCATGATCCTTTTTATTACTCTTTGCTGGACTATTTTTTTTTTTTTTTTTTTTGCAGTTTTTGGCCAGGGCTGGGTTTGAACCCACCACCTCCAGCATATGGGGCCGGTGCCCTACTCCTTTGAGCCACAGGCGCCACCCTCTTTGCTGGACTATTAAACCATCTTCCTTGCAGTACTCCATAACTGTGAAGAACTTTTGGCTATTGATTTCTGGTACTTGCTTGTTCTTGATTTCTTTTGTTTAACAAGTTTGGATTCCTTCACTTCCAAGATCTTAGTTTGCTGTGGCTGTCCTGTTTTTTGTTCTCAACATTCTGCCAGTGAGAAATAGGAACAGGATCTTCTGGAGCTGGTATTTCTGTGCCCAGAGAGGCATGCCCTTCTTGGAGGACCCCAAAAGAAGGTTTACAGTTTCAGCCTGCTTCCTGGTTAGGGCCTGAGATATGGTACAGAAGACAGTGACATGCAGGTATATTGAGCTATACTGGGCCTAAGGGCTGCTCTGGCCCAGATAACTCAGTGGGAGCCCCTCAGAACTCAGGGGTTGCCCGCCAGTAATGGTCTTCTCACAAATCTGCTCTCACAGAAAGCTTGGATTTGTTTCATTTTAGTCCTGTACTTTGGACCTCCCCCCATCTTAGTATCCCCTCTACTGGAAGAGGAAATCTGGTTCTAGAAACTATAAACCAGGGAATCCAGGCCTAGGCTATAATGTGTGAGGAGGAAGACCAGGTGAGTCTGTAGACTGAATTAAGAGAGTATGCTATCTATGTGCTAATTCCTACACAGCAGCCTGTTTTTAATAAGTAATGCAAATATTGTCGCTATGTTTTGAGAACCTGCTGTTTTTAGAACACTTCTGGGCATTGACAATGTGAATTTGTGGGGCTTCTTGGTCTTTTTTTCTTCCCTTCTTCCCCTCCCCCCCCAAGTCAGGATCTCACTCTGTCCCTCAGGCTAGAGTATAGTGGCATCATCATAGCTCATAGCACTTCAAGCTCTTGGGCTCAAGGGATTCTCTTGCCTCAGCCTCCCTAGTAGGTATGCACTATCATGCCAGGGTAATTTTTCTGTTTTTTGTAGAGATGGAATCTCTGTTGAATAGGCAGCTTTTGAACTCCTGGCTTCATGTGATATTCCCACTTCGACCTCCCAAAGTGTTAGAATTACAGGCCTGAGCCACTGTATCTGGCTGACAATGTGACGTTATGAAACAGAGATCACCACAGGCTGATGGGCTTCGTAGATGAGATGGTTCTTGGATCTGTGAGGAAAGGTGAGACAAGGGGCTGTGAATTTAGGAAAAGTTTCCCAAGCAGATGGAATAGCATGAGGCTTTGAACCTGCATCAGTAGAAGATGATGACACTATTGGCTAAAATAGCAAAGTCTAAAGGAAAAAACAATGGTCTTGCAAAAGATGAACAATTTAGGATAATTTGCTTCCTCTCCTCTGCCTCCAACTCTATACTAGTAGTTTGTAAATTGCTTCTCCTGCATCTGTGAATAAGTTTTTATAATAATGACCAGTTTATCTGATTATCTAATTTTCTAGTTGGATCCCCAAAAGTAGTTTCTACAAGTTCAAACTCCATCCCTTCTGTTCCTGCCTCTCTACCAGGATTTATAAAAAGGGACTTTCCCCAAGTGGATTACAAGTAATAACCACATAGACTAGAAACATCTCAGAATGCCTGGAAAGAATGTAAGGGGCCAGGAGTTTGGTTATCAGCATTTCACAGAATTGACCAATCTCTTTGTTTGTTAATCTAGTAAGGAAGTACAATATTGGTTGATAGTAGAGGCCTTACACTTATTATTCAACATACTTACTTTTAGTTCTGTTCTTTTACTGTCTCTACCTCCCCATTGAAAAATTACAAGTTTGCCCCATTAACATCTGTCATTTTGGGGCACCTTGAAAGCTAGACTTTGTTCCACCAAGAAGAGATACTGTATAAGAAAACTCTTAAACCAGACAATAGCATACAGACTTCCATCCACCTATTTAGCAATTTCTAGACATTCCATTTCAGGACTGTGAAGTCTTCCCAGATCAGACCAGGCTCTGGGTTGTCTACATCATTTGCCACTAGGGACTCAAACACTTCAGGTGCCTCCACCACTAGCTATTATAACTTTGTTGCTCAATCTGATATTAATCCTTTTTCAGGGCCAGTAGTAATTTTGGAGACTTACATGTTCCTGGACCAGGCCAGGATCTCACAATAATACCTACAAGCATTGTCTTTAACCTGTTAGGACAGAGGTCCTGAGAGAATTTATTTCTGGATTTTATTCCAGTCCCATGAGCAGAGCTGGAGTGATCCTATCAGTGTGAGGCTGGACTAAGACCCATGCTGGAATCTAGGGTACCAGAAGCTGTGTTGGCCCAGACAGGATTTGGACACAGGTCTACCAGAAGCAGGTAATCAGGAGTGAGGATTCAAATTGTTCCAAGTGGCTACAATGAATAGGATTTACTTAATTGCCTTAGATCATGTGTTGAGTAGTAGTCATGTTGAACTACTACCTGAACCTGCTGCCCATTTGCAAAGCTTCCCAGAAAATAGTTATTATAGGATGCCTCAGATTTTTGGAAAGTGAAATTATTGCCCCAATACTTATCCAGACTTTAGCTGCTCAGGTTCACTAAACCCAAGGATATGGTATGATTTAGGATAATCTCCTAACAGGAAAGTCTTTTTTATGGGGGGGGGGTTGCATTTTTTTTTGGCTGGGGCAGGGTTTGAACCTGCCACCTCCAGTATATGGGGCCGGTGCCCTACTCCTTTGAGCCATAGGCGCCGCCCAGGAGAGTTCTTGTATAAGAATTATTTAAGGTACTCCCTTACAGGCCCACCCACCAAATTCATTCTGTTAATGATCCCAGTTTTGCCCTGGCCTGCACCTTGCTGCCCAGACTTTTGAGCTTCTGGTCCTAGAGTCTCACAGATCCAGCCATGCATCACACCCTAGGCTCTTGTCATTGGCTCTTCTCAGACACCTCTCAATTTTTTCTCCACCAGTTTATTTCCCCGGTGGTGTGTTTTCTGGTGCTAGAACACACCTTTAATAACTATTTTTGGCAACTTTGGTGTGCTGTTCTTTAAATTACCCTTTGGGTCATGGTTTTCCACTCAACTTGCAATTCTTCTCTGATTTTTGGATCCCTCTTCTAGCCCCCCACTTCAGCTATTGAGTAAGGAAGTTGTCTGCTCCAGCCCTGGCCCCAGGTTACCTTCCCATCCCACAGAGTAGGGTGGGGAAATGAGCAGGAATGATGTTTTCTTGTTTTTGTGTTTTATAAGGGACATGGAGGAGGAGTACCCTTAGCCACTATCATTTGCACTCCTCAGAGGCAACCAGTGTTAACCAGGTTTTCAAAGAAGCAGTTGATTACCTCTGGTGCCTTAGAATCAGGAAACTTTTTCAAAGCTGTAACATCCAACTCCCATTCTCCTAGCAACTATGTTTTCCCTGGTACAAGAAACTGCCTAACCACAGGAGATCGAGACTGGCTCTCTGTGGAATGGTAGGAGGAGAGCCGGCCATCTGGAAACCTTGACTGTAATTCTCATGCTTAACACAATCAGTCAGTGAATCTCCAGCTTTCAAATTGACCTTCCTCCCTACTCCACCCCCATTCTGGTTCAAGATCAACACAGAATGTTATATGCCACAGCAGAAAGTCCAGGAGGAATAGACACTTTCCAGGGTAGTCATCCTATCACTGATTTTTATTTTTTTATATGTTTATTTTAGAGCCAAGGTCTTGCTGTTGTCCAGGCTGGAATGCAGTGGGCCAAGCATAGCTCACTGCAGCCCTGAACTGCTTGGCCTATATCGTCCTCCCAGCTCAGCTTCCTGAATAGCTGGGACTACAGGTGTATGGGGTATTGTTGATTTTTATCTAATTCTGCCCTCTATTACCCTACTCCATCTTGCTCCATCTGCCCCGCTAGTAATGATCAAAAAGAGAAAGAGAAGGGCCAGGCACAATGGCTCAAGCCTATAATCCTAGCACTCTGGGAGGCCAAAGTGGGTGGATAGCTTAAGCTCACAAGTTCGAGACCAGCCTGGCAAAAGCAAGACCCCATCTCTACTAAAAATAGAAAAACTGAGGCAAGAGGATTGCTTGAGCCGAAGAGTTGGAGGTTGCTGCGAGCTATGATGCAATGATGACAGCTTGAGACTCTGTTTCAAAAAAAAAAGAGAGAGTAAAGTGTTCACAAAATTTTTGACTTAGAAAAACATGTTGGTGGTTCTGTAGTCTTCTGAATTCTGCCCTGGACTCTGAGTCATTGATATGTTCCCATTATTTGGTGAGATTATTAAGTCAGGGCCTACTTTCCAGAACCTTCCTCTTAGATCTATTTCTTAGTGAAAGTCAAGACTTGCCTGTGGAGATGCTTGAATAAATCTAGATGCCAGATGACTTGAAGAGACCTAGTAAAGGTGTAGGGTATTGTTGGAGACTTGTCTGTCACTGCATCACATATACTGCTCAGCTTGCCTGCTATTTTCAGATATCATCACCATTAAGTTTCACTAGGATCCTTGGGATCAGGTCTCACTTGGATTCTGTGTGGCTCAGTAAGTGGCA